AGGCTTATTTATACACAAATTAAATTGTATTAACTGATTGAAAGTCTCATAGATGGATTTGATTAACATTTTGCCTTTCAATTATTGGACAAATCACTTGACGATATGAGTTTATTATCTTTAATTATCAAAATGTCATTTTGTTACACTAAACAGAGAAAACAAAATAATGTCAAGTTACTTACGAATGTTTGTCTAAACATAATTAACTTTCAATGTTTCTATCATTAATTAAAGTGATTATTCCATCCTCGGTACAAATTCTAATTCATATATATATAAAAGATCAAGAACAATAAGGAATCCTTTTTTGTTGTTCTGTCGAAATCTCTCTCTCTCGATATATTTTGTAGCAACAAAAGACATCTGTTGTTTTTTGGAATAATATTGCATAAATATGTACGATTTCCATATTTTTTGTCATTTTTATGTCAGATATTTAAACAAGGTTACGTAGATACGTACACACACACACACACACATATATATATCTTAGAATCCAAAGTAGAAAAAAAGAATATTACTCTAGGAAATGAAAAAAAAGAAGATGAATGAAGTGATAACAATAATAGGTTTATAAAGAAAGAGAGACATATTATACGATGAACATTTGTAAAACAAACATCGAAGTTTGCATGCAGTCATAATGATATTTGACACACGATTTTGATTATCGTCATGCACAGAGATAACGGAGAAAAGCCAAGTCCTAATTAGAGAAAATCAGTATCGTAGATCTTGTACTAGCAATCAAACTATATATAAAAAGCAACTATTCTGGAGCATCTACATTAGACAGACAGTCCGGTCTCACGAGCGATATCCCGAACGGAATATAGCAGAAAATTTATATCCTGATCGGGATATTTTTGCAAAACATTTTAGAAAAAATCAGTACCGCAAAAATCGTGACGGTATTGCAGAAAAGTGAATATAGCATAAGAAAGTGGATGAAAAACTGAGTCGGAATCAAAGATGTTCTAATCTTGATTTAAAACTCTACCGTTCACGATTTATTAAATTCTAGACGGGATATACAAAATAACCTGACCGGGATATATATCTCGTTCGGGCTATGAGATCGGACTGATAGACTGTTTTTTTTGTATGCAGAAACAAATTGAACTTCTTCCGGCTGAAAACTCGACCATCAGATTTTCCCGCTTTTTTCCCGTATTTAGTATGATAAAATTGCTGTTCTCTTGAAAGAGCAACTGAATGAACCACCGACAACAGATGATAAAACAAAATCGAAGGTGTCCCAGTGGCCATTGTTATCACTTTCAAAACATGGTGATAAAAGTGACGATCATCCAATTAAACACAATCCATCCTTTTATTTAGTAGCAAAACCAATTGCAAATAAGCTAATGCCACTAAGCCAATTGATTAAGGCAAGTTTCAAAGAGAACAGAAACTGAAAATCGACTATATTGTCAGCTAGGAGACCTCTCTCCTATCCAGAAGAAGATGTCTGTGACAACTTCACTGTTTGAGAGGAGAATGGAGTACATTTTTTTCACACACAGGTTAAACTATAAATGTTCAACATGAATCTATATGCTGTATAAATGATCTGTTCTTGGCAAAAAGAGTCTATAATGTTCGAACTTTGTTACATATTTGTTATAGAAGTTGAAATCTCTTGGTCTGAACGTATTTCCCGAAACAGATTCCGACTCATACGTTAGTATTATTAATAAAGTAGGTTTATTGTTCTCTTATTTTTGTATTATATTTGAAACAGATTAGCATAAAATATTTTAGAACCATAAATTAGAATGGTGGGTGTATCATCAGATGGCTATTGTCTCGTGTTGTACAGCATTTTCCTATAGTCACTGGAATGCATTTATTAATGATGAAATGAAAATAGTTGTAGGATGTAAAGAACATCTACAAGATTCATTAACAATTGAAGTACGTATCTGAAGAGAGGTAAATAATTTCAAATTTACGCCTACTCTTCCAATCGTAGGAAGATATGCGTTGTATTATATTCACTAATGAATTAGTTGGGTTTACAGATATATGTGAAAGTTCAGCTGAATTCATTGAAGCATCAACATTTTCAGATGTACGTATCAATAAAAAAGTCTTTATATAAAATAGAATAATCAATAATTGTTTCGTTATAGTATCATGCTGAATTGTATCATCTAGTGCGTGAACAATTTTCATCAGAAGCCTATTCAAGAGTCATAGATGCAAGTGCCATATTTATCGAGACAATTAATCAATTTTTGATGAGTATTAAACCATTGACATTTGCTTGAAATTATCACTGTACATTTCACTTGTTTCTGTTTACAATATGGACAAAATTTCAAGAGCACTTTTGAAGTCTCATTATTTTATTCATTTTTAAAAGAAGATTGAACTATTTATTCTTCTTCTGTAGGTGTAATAGAAGAGCAGACAATCCACTGACACTAGGTAGAATACTGCATTGTACGACTCCTCTGGGGCACCCCTTACAACCATCGCTAAAAACGGAAATTTTTCTGTTGTACACACTTGATGATTCTTATTTCCAATCGAGTTACTGTCGGTTCACAGTACATCCTTTTTTTAAAATAAAAATAATCATGCCGGATAAACATTTTTTCACCAGTAACATCATTTTCTGCCCACATTAGTTTTTCAATAGTATTTGTTTCGGAAATCTTCACTGAGCACTCTGCCGATGGTCGATTGATTACTTTTGAAATTCTTGACCGTTGTTCGTAAACTCTCACTTTTCACGTTGAAATTGAGCCATTTTTTCACTAAATTGACTAATCGTTTTATCTGAAACTAAGATTAAACCAAGATTATGAACTGAGATACGTACAAAACAAAAGTATTGCAAACATTTTGGAACAACCGGTATTTATTGAATTTCAAAATACTATCTTGCTCAAAACGATTCAGCAGAATAAATTAATAACAAACGGTCTTGTAATGATATGTGTCTTACTATCTACTAAGCCTGTATTCTTAAGTGCAACAATATTGAGATAATGATTTATGTGTTTATTATTATTCACTGCTCACATAACAATTTTGAACAAAGAGCATGCATGATATTCTGAAAATTTCAAGTAAAACAAATAAATTTTGACCGAGCTATATTGATAAAAACCTGCCTGTGATGAATCAGTTTTTTTTCATCCATTATTACGCTCATTTGATAGAACGTTGCTAACATTGTATTTTTTAAGCTTGCAGGATGTTTTAATAAAAGTAATTTGAATTTTATATTTGTATTTTAAATTATTTTTGCACACATTCTTAGTATGATATGTAGAGAATATTCAGCTCTATCACCTGATATGGATTAGATCGCAAACGGATAATATTTGACGGAGCTAGCTCTATTCAAAAAGCGACTGGTCAAAATTTTTTGTGTTTTAATCCCTCACATGTGGGAATTAGAACAGTCGAGACCAGTCAACCGCAGATTTGCTTCTGATCCTGAAGGAAATGAAATTTAGACAAACGAAAACGACCATTCGACAGAAAAATACCTCCTCTACAACTCTTGCCACGAAACTACCCGAAAATTTGTTAAGCTGACTGAGAAAGAACGAAAATACGGAGATTTAAAAAAATACTGTTCTAATTACCCCACCCTACTCTATAAAGGAAACAAGCTAAATACAAAATGAACGATAAACACCTCACAACAAAATAAGGAATGCTAAGAGCCAACTGTTAAAGACAAGTTTTTGCCATCATCAAGTAACCAAGCTCCGATTATCATAGCGACACGAATAATTCTATTCTCTATTTACGTTACAGTGAAGAGTGCAAACTTTAAAGATGGATGAAAAGTGTTGAATAATTTGTCAAGTAAAACATAATTATTTCAAATCACCTCATCAACGCCAGTGTCTTTACTACTTTATTATTTTTCAATGGATGACTCCACAAATGATAATCGATATTATATAAAATAAAACAGACAATAGACAAAACTTTTCAGCCAAAGATATTTTTTTGTGCAAAAAAGACCGAACAATACTATGACTCAATCTTATACGAAGATGGAAAGAAAACTATATGTCTACAACCGACTTTCGAATATATACGTAATTTTTCTAGAATTTAATGACTAGTGGAATACTCGATTTGCACCGCGGAGTAGATGAAGATGAATAAGAGCAGATGTCATATCTTCTATCTGTACACACAGTAAAAAGAGAGGCTTTTTGTGGTTGTCTTCATCCTTTGAACTTCTATCCATTAAGAACGAACAATACAATAGGATGTAAACTGAAGGTCGAGTTGAGTTGTGTACTGTCAGACGCGTAAAATTCAAACGTGATCTCGATGTGAAAAATTCAAACAATGGATTACTTGTACGAATGAACATCTTAATTTTTACGGTTAACGCATAACTTGATCAATGCACAAAGCTAATATAAAAAATATAGACATGTTCTTTTTGTTTATATAGAGACACGTAATCACTCTAAGTTTTGTAGAGAGCGCCAAAGACACTTAAGTCTATTACTCCTTTAGTGAATATAGTGATAAGATCAATTTCTACACATTAAAAAGTTTTATCAAAACATTTTTTTCAAGAAACGTAAAGACAACTGAATTCCTCATCGCATTAGATTCTACTCAGTGTGTCCAATGAAAACTTTTAACCAATCACGTATCATGTATTGTCTCAACGATTGTACTCAGTTTATGGTAAATCCTCATTGTTCATATGCATCTAGTGATCACACAAAAGAAACAAATGATTCGTGAATTCAGAGGTTAAATATTCACGTTAGACAGGCAACTTCAATTTGTTAGTTCTTCGAAATTTTCTATTTTTACCCTCAACATGTTGACAGATGAGACATTTTCTGCACGCTAGTGAACTGAACAAAATACCGTTGAACGTGTGTAAAAGTGCGGGGTTAAACGAAAATGGATGAGCGGCCCGGTATTAACCTTTGCGATAGACTAATGCGCCTACCTTACGCAAGCGCGTTCCTTCATTGGTTTTTTTACGTCGTGTTCTAAATCATTCTCCTTACTTGTAAACGGCATGAGAAATTACCCAGAAGTCACTTCGAAAAAACGTAAACAGTCGAGGAGGCTGGCAAGAACAAGAATTCACTTTAACGACATATGACAAGTAGCGGTTTTCTT